AGTGTGGCCTTACCAAGGCCTTGTAAAGTAGTATTAACACTTCACATGATCTTGATTCTATCCCAAGGATCCTGGCTGGCCAATGCTGGTGGTGGTGGTGGTGGTGGTGGTAGTGGTGGTGATGGCAAAGGTTTCCATAAAGAGCTGCATGCCATGGTTCCCTGTGAAAGAGTTTGACTTCAGATCAGTCACGTGGCACAAGCATTCATTGGGATAGGAGCCGTTCGCATTCCCACGACTTCTTCAAGAGTTCCCTTTTCCCAATGTTGGCCAGAGAAGGACACGAGTGGGCCGGCGTGTTTTTATCTCCACATGGTTTATGAAATCCCAGCGATGAAGACACGTTTGACGTGCTGTGAAATCCATGTTTTTAATGTTCTAAGTTTCTGCCTTTTAGTGGAGGTGAGGAAAAGCCCCAGAGAATTTGTAAACATAAAATAATCTGTTGGCAGTGAAGAGGCACCACACACACCCCATAAAGTATTCCTGCAATTGCTCTGGTTTCGTCTGTTTGTCTTTCTTGTTTAACTCATTTTAAGAGAGAAGGTAAGAGAGAGTAATGGTGCCCTCCTCCTTTTCCTCCCCTCCCCTCTCCTTTCTTTCTTCCCTTTATTTTCCAAAAGCCTGGCAGAGTGCCAGATGACTTACATTACTGTAATAGATTTGATGACCTTTGACTTCCGCTGCAGAGGCATATGTTGAATTTTTCATTATATCAGAGGACACCGAAAGCTAAAAAACTCGGGACGGGAAGCCGCATTATTTAAACTAACGTTCAGTTACACATGATTTTTTTTTTCCTTAAGGGGGGGGGGGAAATAGTTGCAATTAAATGTCATCTATCACTGCATTAAGTGAGGATTAATGCAGTTTCCGGTTTGTTCAATCAGCTTGTATGGATTTTATTTTTTTTGAAGTCGCCATTATTATTATTACTATTTTGCAAAGGATAATCTTGCTTTTCATAGTCATTGAATTTAATCAGCAGCTCAGTTGATAGGAAAGGCCCCCCTGCTGTTTCTGCTGTGGACTGGAAAATGTTATTCTTTTATTATTGCAGGAGGGGGGGAAAAATCTGCCCCTCGCTGTTCCAGAATCTGCTATCTATGGGAAAAAATTGTTTTTTAATGTGCTGCTGTTTACATATTCTAGTTACGGCAATTATCCCTTAAATAATGCATTTTATTAACTTAAAACATAGGAACTGTACTTTATAAGGCTGTTACGGGTAAAAGCACACACCCAGATGGAACCTTGGAGTAACCTGGGAGTAAATCTTGGGGTCTTTCTAACCGTTCTCAGTGTTTGGTGAATCTACGCTGGGGCCGAGCTGTGCCTGGATCCCACAGATGGGCTCCTCTTTTGTACCGCCAGAAAACCAGCAGATTTTAGTGCCAAACTGCTGAACCAGGGAAACCAAATATACATGATGATTTCAAATCACCCCAAATAGTCCCCCCCCCAAAAAAAAACCAATATAAAAATGAAAATATTGCTATGATCCGTTCTTCTGTGGCCGGTACCCTTCTTGCGTTATCCCTACTTGCCAACATGGGAGTGAGAATCTGTGGGAAGGGAGAAGTTGTGCCATGCTGGGCACCCAGGATGCCCTCCTGGGGCAGGGATTTTCCTGAAAATTGGAGAGAAAGCCTTGTGGAGGGAGCAGCCGCCAAGGCAACCAGCCCAAGGAGCCTTAATGGAAGCGCCCCGCCAGCCTTCCTTGGTCCACATCCAATGGGGGGGGTTGGCAAGGTGGGGGCTCGGGTGGGGGGGGGAATGCCGACCCTTCCTGGCTTATTTCTGCTACGGTTGCGAAGTGCCCCCCCGCCTCTTTTATTTTGCACAGAGGTTGATGTCAGTCTTCAGCTGAGTGACAATAATTACAGAGAAATTAAATCAAGCTGCTAATTTCAGGCCTGTTGCATTGGCGAAGGAGAGAGCTGCATTCTTCCTGTCTGGGGCAATATTGACTCTCAGAGAGAGACTGTGTGTGTGTGTGTGTGTGTGTGTGTGTGCTGGTGTTGTGTTTTACCAAGAGAGCAGCTGGAGGTTTTGAGTCTCCCATCCGCTGGATTATGCTTGTATTGTACAACAGCATCTCATAATGACACGATAAGATCGCACGTCCTGTGGTAACCGCGTTGGGCTTCAACAGCACAACCAGAGAGAAAAAGAGATTAAAAGGGGGGTACGGGGGGGGGGACACAGTGGAAATTCTAGCCCTGGAAACCTCCTCCTCAGGTTACAGTTGTCGTGGAAGGGCTCCATGGCGTTTTCAGTTGTATCAGCCAGGTATATTCACCCAGGCAGGGCAGTGTACCTGCTTCCTCCGCCTTTTCCCCATCGCTCCAATTCCCGGCTACCTGGGACCAGCCAGGCCAAGGGCCCTTGGCCTCTCCTGTGTGTGTGTGGGGGGGGGATGCTGCAGGCCACCCTTAGTGATGACCGGATCACAAAGGAGGCCGCAGGCTTTCTGGGACCAAACTGGAAAGTCCCCGGGGGAAAGGTTCCTGGACCGGTCCGTGAAGGGGGATCCTGAACCCCCAAGGTAGCTGCCGGCGGTTGGGCATCCCGCCCGAGCTGCTGATTTATCAGCTGAATATGCAGATTCCAGAGAGGCTGCACGTTCCCATAGCAACCCAAGTCAAACAATCTTTTCTGCAGTGCCAACGCAATCTTGCTGCAAAAAAAAAAAAATGTGTTTTGGCTAAACCTGATTCTTTAAATATTTAACATACGGCAGAGAAGAGATAAATATTGCTCCGCAAGGCAACCGAAGCCACGCTCCTTTGCTTCTTCAGGTCCTCCCAGCCCCCCCACCCCCCATCAGCCTTGTTTTACTCCTTTTTTCACTACATAAACAGTAACCGTAATGTTACCACGGGAAGCATTTGGCAACCTCCCTGCTATTTCGCTAAGCCTGCATATAGAGGGAATGTTCCCCCCCCCATTCCAGCAGCTGTAACGTGTTTAAACTCAGTTTGTAATGGGATCTGAAGAGGATTTTTCCTCTAGGTTAGGCTTCTTTTGGAGGGGGGGGCAGAGGCTGGGCTCATCCTCAGCTAATAACGCTGGTTTTCTAATAAAGCATGAAGTCGGTTTATATTTAACATCAATTATGCTGCACTTTATTAAAATGTGAAATGCTATCATTTGGGAAGCAGCGAGTCCCATCTCTCTCTCTCTCTCTCTCTGCAATTGGAACATCTAAATCTAAACCACACGGTCTGGAGTGGATTCAGGGAACAAGCCAGAAAGCAAAATCTGCATTTGAACAAAAGCTTTTTTCTTTTTTTTTAAACTTTGAATTCTTAAGATTAAACTGTAATTAAAGCAGTCTGATATTTGGACAGATTCGTGTTGTTTTTAAAGCCAAGTCCGTGGTTTTTTGTTTTTGTTTTTTCACAGATGCCTTAAAAAACATGTTTGCCTTGTAAAAAGTTCCCATTTTATTCCCGCCACGAGTAATTCATTAATCATGCCGAATGCATTATAAAAAACTTTAATCACCAATGCTTGAAACCCAGATAGCCAGCGTAACCCTTTCGTTAGCATTGAAGAAAGTCTTCCTTTTTTAGATCAAGGGGGGAAAAAATTAGCATTGAGGGTTTTTAAAATTTATTTTCTAAAAAAGAGTGGCATCGTTCAGGAGGTAGGGATTTTAAAAAATAAATAAATACGTTGGGTTCCTACCCAGTCTCTCTCCTCTTATGCTTTCCCTCTAGTAAAGAGGGGTCTCTCACCTGCTCCCGCATCCCCCTCAGCCTTCCTCCGTTTTCTAGAACACAAATATCTTTCTCTGCTGATGGAAAATTCAGTGCCCCAATTTTTACGGGTGGAGGGTCCAGAGTGGAAAAGTCTCATGGCTACATAGGCTAACTTTATTTAATGACCCAAAATGGCATTATAAATAAAAACTCGATTCAGTTGACGTAAAGGGTCAAAGTTCAGGAAAATAAGTAGCTTGTTTGCTAAGGGCTGATTTGATCCAACTCAAAATCTCATTTTGATTTTTTTTTGAACCAGCTCAAAAGAGGTCCAAAATCTTTCCCCAGATATAACACCCTAGTAACGTACAAGACTTTCTCCTAGTGCAGGGGTAGGCAACCTTGGGCTCTTTTATGACTCGTGGACTTCAACTCCCAGAATTCCTGAGCCAGCCATGCTGAGGGGAAAGTGAGAGGTTTCCATGCTGAGCCACGCTGGCTCAGGAATTCTGGGAGTTGAGGTCCACGAGCCATAGAGTGGCCTAGGCTTAGGCCAGAGGTAGGCAACCTTGGCTCTTTTATGACTTGTGGACTTCAACTCCCAGAATTCCTGAGCCAGCCACGCTGAGGGGAAAGGGAGAGGTTTCCAAGCTGAGCCATGCTGGCTCAGGAATTCTGGGAGTTGAAGTCCACGAGTCATAAAAGAGCCAAGGTTGCCTTCCCCTGAGTGTACAGCTGATTGGGAGCAAGAGAATGGACACACACACACACACACACACACACACACGGGGTGAATGCAAGTTCTGAGTTTTTAAAACCATCCCGTTTGTTAAGGGTTCCCTTTATAATTACTTAAGGCTTACCTAAACCTGTAGCCTAGGAAGGTATCAAAGAGTTCTTTAAGAAGAAGAGCGTAAAAAAATCTCTTTGACGACTTACAAATCCAAGGTGTAACCAGAGGAGAGTGGGCTCATTTAGTTAAGCACCTCTTCAAAGCAAAACCTAAAACCAGATTCCCTTTTGACGGGGAGAAAGAGGGGTCCCCGGGGGGGGAGAGGGATTGGGAATGAAACTGGCCTTGGCTTCCCTAATGCCATGTGGAGGACCCTCCTGATGCTTGTGGTGACCCCATCCTGGACCTGCAAGCTGGAGGCCCTTCTCTGCCCAAAGCAGCCGCAGGCCCGCTTCCTCCCGGACACTCCAAAGGTGCTTTTCCACGGCGCATCCATTACCAGGACAGGATACTTCCCATGGGCAAGAATCTCCATAACTGACTGATTATTTGTTCTTCAGATTAATCTTGCCCTACGAAAGATACATTAAAGGGGAGGAAGATAAGCCGTTGCCACAGGTGAAGCCTCGGAAGCAAGAGGTCGCTCAGGAGGTGGAGAGTAAGATAAAACTGGCGGGCACAAAGCGCATCAAGCATGAAAACGTGAAGAGCAAGAAGGAGCGAGAGGAGGCACCAAAGCCCCAGGACCCAGCAGAGGTCAGTTCTACCTGTTCCGGTTTTGTGTACGTCCCAAATTTTTCATTATTTGACCTTGTTCTGGTTCAAGCAAAGAGATTGCTGGATTTCATTTGAAACAGGCAGAATTAACTCCATGAATCAGTCATACAAAATTACTTTATTCCAGGCTTACAGTTACTGCTGAAATTCCTCTGGAATGCAAATTGTAATTGGGACCCATCAGCGTAGGTAAAAGGATAATAGATTTCTCCATTCTACGGAGCTCCTAACCCTCGTGGCTAGGATTCATGGAGAGAGGATAGACTGGCACGTAAACAGGATATCCCGTAATAAAAACACAAGACCCTCCCAGTGGCCAATCCTAACACAGATATAACCAGGTAACAACTAAAACTACATTTCCCAGAAGGCCATCCCTTAAGGGGACATCATTTTAACCGTTAAAAATGCTACTTGCTTTACACACAGTTCTTAATTCCTAAGCTAGCTATATACTCTGACCAGCAGAGACCTGTACCACCCCATTTTGATCGGCAAATATTGGGCGACTCTCTTTGGGGACAAGAGCTGACTAAAAAATACTAAAATTCTCTCTGGCTGCCAGCTTCACATTCTCCTCAACCCGCAGGGAAACTTAAAAAGCAGCTGCAGAGGCACAAATCTGGGAGAAGACGGGGCTTCCATCCATCTCCTGACGGTAGCACCGAGAGGATTACTTTCCTACCGCTCTCTCTTTGGGCCCAAGAAAGAGAAGGGAAAGCACAGGTGCTTACCTTAGCCCAGGGGTAGGCCACCTTGGCTCTTTTATGACTCGTGGACTTCAACTCCCAGAATTCCTGAGCCAGCCACGCTGAGGGGAAAGGGAGAGGTTTCCAAGCTGAACCATGCTGGCTCAGGAATTCTGGGAGTTGAAGTCCACGAGTCATAAAAGAGCCAAGGTGGCCTACCCCTGGTGTAGACCAATCCTCTCCATGTGGGTCAGACTACAGTCCCCATCATCCCCCCGCCCCACTGTCTGAATACAATGTGATCTCTACTCCTACCTATTGGGGTATTTCTACCTGGCTGCTTCCAGGCAAGTCTACTGTAGCTACTTCCTGTTGTTTTCCTCAAAATGTTTTCTCTCCCCCCCCCCATATACACACCATCTACTCCACAGCCCTGGGATTTCCTAATAAGCAAGGTCTGGGGCAGAGTGAAAAGACACCCCCCTCATTAGCCACAGAAGCACCCTAGGGATTTTGGGCCTGTTGGTTCCACCTAATCCAAGGGTAGGCAACCTTGGCTCTTTTTGACTGGTGGACTTCAACTCCCAGAATTCCTGAGTCAGCCATGCTGAGGGGAAAGGGAGAGGTTTCCAAGCTGAGCCATGCCGGCTCAGGAATTCTGGGAGTTGAAGTCCCCAAGTCATAAAGGGGGCCATAGTTTCCCCATGCTGGCTCAGGAATTCTGGGAGTTGAAGTCCACGAGTCATAAAAGAGCCAAGGCGGCCTACCCCTGGCTTAGCCCATGACGCTGTGGTCAGGGCTTCCTGCCTAAAAACCGCTGGGGAGGGAAGATGATTTTGCAAGATTGCCAGGCAGCTGCTTCTCAGGATGGCCTCAAGTTCAATGGATTGACGGAGGAAACCAAAAAGGGGAGATCCTTAGCAAAAGGGCTGGAAGGAACATTCGTCACAGGTAAAGCCCAAGACGGCCCTAGTTTCACTCCAGCTCTGCCCTCGGTCCACACTAAGAGAGATCCTTCTTTTTAGCAAGGGCCGCCTTGGATAGCACTGAAAGCTTAAGTCTAAAACAGAGATTAAAGGAATCCATTTGGCTGGGATTGGGTTTTCTCTGCCTGGGCTGCTCCATGAACCCAGCAGCAGTGACCAGTCCTGTAATTGATGGGTGGGCAACCTTCCATGAAGGTTACCGGGTGTCCATACCGTACTGAAAATGCAGATCAGGAAGGTAGCTTTGCCTGCACCTTATGGTGGGACAGAAGAGAAGGGCTGAGTCCTAATCCTTCCCCTCTTGTGGAGGCCACCAGAAAACCCCGCAGGCTTCAGTGCAAAGGCCGAGGGCTTTCTTTGCCGAGAGAGAACTTGGCATTGTCTGCAGATAGGATGCTTGTCTGGGCGGTGTTTTCTCACAGTTTCCTCTCCAAATCTTTTATTAGGGTTCATCAGCCAAAGAGAAGAATCAGGAATGCCCGTTGCAGAAAAGCTTATCGGACCTGACTGCAGCAGAAGCCATGAAGCTCTCCGCCGAAGGGTCTCGGCTGTCCCCTCCACCAGTCCCCGGAGTGGCCTTCTTGGAAGAGGAGGAGCCTCTGGCTGAGGCGTCTCTGGTCCCCCCCGAAGCCCTGATCAGAAGCCCCCCGCTGGAGGAGCTGCAGGAGGAACCCAAGCAGGAACCACGGGGGGTGTCCTGTGTTGCAGAAGACCTTCAGGAGGAGGCCCAGGCAATGCCATTCAGCAGCTTCCCCGGCCTCCATCTTCCGAGTCAGAACGAGCTGGAAGATGATAAGATCCCAGAGATGGCGGACTACATTGCCAACTGCACAGTGAAAGTGGATCAGCTGGGCAGCGAGGACATCCACAGTGCCCTGAAGCAGAGCCCCAAAGTGCTGGTGGTGCAGAACTTCGACATGTTCAAGGAGAAGGAGTTCCCGAGCTCCTTCAATGGGGACCCTGGGTTTGGTTCCACCCCGTTACTCTACTCCAAGGGCAACCCGGGCATCATGTCCCCTCTGGCGAAAAAGAAGCTCCTCTCCCAGGTGAGTGGGGCAGCCCTGTCCTGCAGCAACTACCCGTACGGCTCCCCACCACCCCTGATCAGCAAGAAGAAGTTCAGCAGCAAGGACGACCTCTTGTCTGGCAGGCCAGGACTGCTGTCTCCCAGGCACTCGGTGGACAGTGCCGCGGTCAGCAGGCCATCGGTCATCCAACACGTGCAGAGTTTCAAACCCAAGACTGCAGAGGACAGGAGGCCCACTCACGATGCCTACCGGCACGAATCCCTGCATAAGAAACCAGACTCTGAATGTTGCGATTTTTCCAAGCAGCACTTGAGTGCCCTGGCGGAGTCCTACGCGCTGAAGTCGGACATCCAGGACATGAAGGAACGAATGAACGAGAGGAGGGTCCTGCACCACTCGCACGTGCCAGGCTTCTTGGCAGACTTCTACGCCTCCCCTCCCCTCCACAGCCTCTACAGGCGTGCCGAGCACCACCTGGGGGGCCAGCCATGCTCCAAGTACTTCCCCCGAGATGCCTACGGGGGAAATGCAGCCGGGTTCCCTCCCCATAAGCCCCAGGACAGGCGACTCCTCAGCTACCACCCGCCTCTGCACCAGCTGGAGAACAAGACCCCCCGGGAAACCTCTTCGGACGATCAGCCCACAGACCTGAGTCTTCCCAAAGGGGGGCACAAACAGACCACAAAGACCTTGGGAGCCCCTCTCTTGCGGGGTTCGCCCGGGGGGGTGGAGGAGGGCAAAAGCTCCACCCGGTTCCACGCCTTGACCAGCCAAACTCTAAGTGCGGAGGGCAACCCAAAGGCTTGTCGGGTCTCCCCAATGACGGTCTCTGCCCCAAAGAAACAGGGGGAGCCCCTCCTGAGGGCCTGCAAGCTGCCAGCCCCGAGAAAGTTAGACGGGATGGTACACCCGGTCCTGAGCCGCAAAGCCTTGGCTCCGGGCGTCGGGGCAGCTCGCCCTCTGAAGCGCAGCCTGGAGGATCTGGACAAAGGCCTTTTGGAGAAGAAGGTCCGAGCAGTCTCGCCCTTGCGCTTACCAAAGGAAGCCCCTTCCAAAGAGCAGGATGTGGAGGGCAGCAAGTCACTGCATGGCCCACCCCCAGGCGGGGCGCTGGAGGGCCACAAGTTCCCCCTCTCTAGCCCCATCTTCACAGGCTTGTACCCAGGGACCCTCTGCGGCGGCCTGGGCAGCCGCATGCCCGCGGCCGGCTATTCCCACCCCCTGCAGTACTTGAAAAACCAGGCCGCCCTCTCCCCGCTGGTGCAGCCCTTCGCTCTCCACTCGTTCATGGTGCACAGACAGTTCCTCACCTCCCCAGGCAGCTCTCAGCAGCTTTACCGGCACTTGGCGGCAGCCTCCCCCGTGGGCAGCTCCTACGGGGATCTTTTGCACAACAGCGTTTATCCTTTGGCAGCTCTGAACCCACAGCCTGCTTTCCCCCCCTCCCAGCTCTCTTCTGTACACCCGAGCACAAAGTTGTAAATGCTTTTGAGAGATGTCACCCACACACCCCGCAAACGACATTCCTTTCGCCCGCAACCCTGTCTTGCAAACAAGTATATCAATATTTGTGATAAACCAAGGAGTGGTTTTGCTCCTCTACGCTGAGCGCTTTGGGCCTGACTGTGACGCCGCTCCGGCTTAGCTGGGCTTGAGGCCAGACTGCTGGCTTTCTCCTCGCCTCCTCGCCGGTGCGCCTGCTGCTGCACGGAGGGCCGCGGAGGGCGAGGGTTCCCGGGCAGCCAAGGCTCAGGTGCGCCGGGGCCCCAACGCAAGAGGAAGGGCCCGCTTGGCTTGCCTCCTCCCCCCATCCCCAGACAGCGGCCTCGAAAGGTTTCAGATAAATCAGGAAGGCGGGAAACACCACCTGGGGAGGTTTGCTTCTTGGGGGGTACCCTTTCAGAGTTCAAATCAATGCAATGTATAGAAAAAAACTGTCGTCCGACTTTCATCTTAACACTATCAGAACAGAACAAGTAAAACACAAAAACCAGACTGTACATATCTGCTTCAGAAACGAGAACGACCCATGTCGAGTTCATTTGTATAATTTATGTAAGTTCTTATTTTCCACGTATCATGTGCTGGTTTTTTTTTTTAAAGGAAAAAAAAAATTAAACAGCTCCTTTTTATTTGCCACATTTTTTTTCCCTTTTCCTTTTGTTTTTGTTTTTTTTTTAAGCGCAAGAAAGGAGGCTCTGGATATTAAGGGCTTTTTACGCTTGGCGTTTGTCTCTCTCTCTCTCTCTCTGCCTTTCCTCCTCTGCTTCTATTTTGAAGACAGCTTTTGGGGAGGGGGTTACACCCACTTTCACTGGACAAAAGCCAGCTGTGATCCAAGAGTCCCAATTCCCTTCAGTCTGAGGTTGCTGTGCCCTGTCTCGGCCCTTTGGGGCAGCCCCTCCCTCCTAGCCCAGTGCAGCTTTCCTGTCTCGAGGCCGGCCTGGTGGTTACCATCTGCAGTGCTCCATCTCTTATCAATTGCGACCCAAAGGAAGCCTCCCGTGCACCATCAGTAACGCTGGCGTGCAGATGACTTTCCACAGGGGGTGTGAAGCTCTGTCAAGAACCTCAGCCATTAGGTAAAGATGGTTGGGATCCTGCCACCCAAGAGGATCCCTTGAAAAGAGAACCTGGCTGATCTGGGTTTTTTCGAAGCAAACTTGAGGAAAGGTTATCCAAGAGCCAGCCTAGCCATGAATCGCTTGGATTCTTGGCGGGTTGATGTAGGCCAGATTTCCCCCAAGTACTTTAAAACTTGGCTTTCTAGCAGTCATAAAGGCAATGTAACGTACGAAACGTCAAAGCCGAGCACTGGCTTTGGACCCCTCCCCTTTTTCCACTGAGCATAAAGCGTCCAGGCCAGGGAGCACCTTGGTCTCCCTCTTCCTGATTACAATGGTTTCCAGAGTCTGCACAAGTTGTGTGAGGCTTTGGCAGAGCCCTCATTTTATGACCCGCCTGTGCTTCGCCCTGGGTGTATTGGCACCTGTGTGCACCTCCATCCTATCTGCCCTTCCTCCTGCTGCTGCAGCTTGCCTCTGAACCCTTGAAGGGCAAAGAGAGATTCACGTCTGAGGGGGGGAGCATGGATGACTCCATCTCTGTCCAGCTTGTCTCGCCGTGTCCTGTTTCCCCTGTGATGTTCACAAGTCTCCTCTATCCCATTTTCAGCGTTCAACAGAATAAACTGCACCCACACAAAAAACGCATTTAAACATCTTTTTCAATACATTTCTAACATACTTTCTCTCAAAGTACATAAATCTCAACAAATTTTATCTTTAAAACATGGGGGAGGGGGGGGTTAAGCCAGGAACTGCATAAAAAAAAAATAGCGAAGTGTGAAAACCAAAAAATGATCCACTCCTAATCCAGGAGACAAAAGGTTCATATTAAAATTTGCAAGGAGCCAGTTCTTTCCTCCCTTACTCGCCGCTGAAAGAGCAAGGGCTACGATCTCTGGGGCGCTGGATGGGGGTTCAGGTCAGGACCAAAGAGGTCCTTGCAGGCTGGTGGGGTTTTTGCGCCAGCCCTCCTGACTCTGGCAGCAGAAGATCGTCCTTCTTGGGACCACATCCAGCCTCGCTCCATCGGTTGCGGGAGGCCTTCTTTGGAATTGCAGTGTGGCCGGAAGAGACTCAAATCTCGCTCGCCTCGAGCCGGACCAGGAGTGCCAGGCCAGCATCGCTTCTTCTGGAGAGCAGCTGAGCCCAGTTACCGCTGAGGCAGCTCTGAGCCTCCAGGCAAAGCTGACCCCCTCCGAGGGGCTGCTTGGAAGCTGTGGCTTCCTGGCCTATGCCCTGGACGTCTGTGCAGAAAGGCTGAGGTTGAAGGAAGCCCCCTGCAATGCCAGGATCTGAATCTACACCCCGGTTCCAGTGCAGGAAACCATCCAACGACCGGGATCTAGCGGAAACTACTTAAAATGCAACTCGCCTGCATGGCCAACCTCCTGCATTAAAACTGACTTTGATTCAAAGCCTGTTGCAATATACAATGTAAGCTACTTAATATATATATATTGGTGTGGGGGGGAACACAATAATAGGCAGCTGTCGTTATCTTCAGTTAAATGCTCTTATGTTCTTGTGCATAATTATACTAACTGACGATACATAAACAGGCTTGTAGAACATGGCACATAACTCTGCTGGGTGGAAGGGGGGTGTTTGAGGGGCAGGAAGGGAGTCGGTGTCCCTATTGACTGAATAGTGAACGCAAAGACCACCCTCGCCCCAGTCAAAAGGCTTGCTCCATTGCACTAAACGTGGAGGAATCGAGGAATCGCACTCAAGGTGGGGAGGCAGGTGGCGGTCCAGGCTGGGGAATCAGAGGAGCTGTGGCTGGTTTTGGAATCGGGAATCACGTTCAGAGAGGCTGGTTGAGAGCGGCTGCGTGGAGGCGCCTCCTGTTCCTTGTTCCTTGGCTCTTGGCTGGCCCTGCTTTGCTGGCAGTGGGAGACCATCAGGCACGACCATCTCCCCTTGCGTTCCCACAGCCTGCTCTTCTCTGCCAGGGCCAGGTGGGGCTTCTGCCGGCAAAGGGGCTGGCCTGCCATGGTCACCCTAACCCAGGGGTAGGCAACCCAAAACACTCAAAGAGCCACTTGGACCCCTTTCCCACTGAAAACAAAATACTGGGAGCCGCAAAACCCTTTTGATATCTAAAATGAAGATAACACTGCATATATCCTTTTTT